CACCCAACCTTGGGACTACTGATGGTACCACCCCACCCAGCCTTGGGACCACTGAGGGTACCACCCCACCCAGCCTTTGGACCACTGAGGGTACCACCCCACCCAACCTTGGGATCACTGATGGTACCACCCCACCCAGCCTTGGGACCACTGAGGGTACCACCCCACCCAACCTCGGGACCACTGAGGGTACCACCCCACCCAACCTTGGGACCACTGACCACTAGTACAATCATGCATTAATAATTATGTTTACCGAAGGAAACATATTATATTTGCTCTATTTTCTCTTCTTCTCCAAACACCTAAAATTGGTCGATATTTTCGTAATTAGAGCCTGGAGGATAATGAAATTCAGCATGCTGGTAGGTTGGTACATAAGACACTAAACTGCGGTCATTTTAGCCAACATAGATGTCAAAAAATGATTTTATTTGAAAAAAAAATGGGTGAAAAAAGTTGCATTTTAGCCAAAAATCGAACAAAAAGAACGCGTTTGGAACATTCGAACAACCATGGAACAGCGTGTTCGATAACCGCGGGTCAATGACCCCAGCCTACGGAACACCCGATGTTTCCAAATATGGGCATCCGCCCTCGTATATGACGACACGAGAAGAGATCGGTGGACCAATGTGGTAAGTTTTCATTTTTTTGCATGTCGCCGCCGGCTCAAATTAAAAAAAAAACACTAACGTTAGTAATTTACTAGCTCCTGACTTGATGGAATCTCGTATGTTTAGCGATTTAGGCTTGTTGCTGTTTTGAAAATAAATCAAACAGAATTGTGTTCATCCGTAACTATTGTCGACTTTGTAATGTAGGTGCGGGGCCGGGGGAGGGGGCGTTTGTTTACGTTTATGACTCATGATATAACATGGATACTAGTATAACATTACATTTTGTCGTTTTGTCAGACAGTTTCAATCTTTTTTCGGGATAACACAGTACAGTTCATGGGATAAGCATCAAATCGGGATTCATCGGGATATCCCGCGGGATTTTTCGGGAACCATGTTGACTAAGATTTTTACAGACAGACGGTGCAGCGCATGTTTGTTTCCAAATTATGCATGATGATAACAATAGCACAAACAATAGCACAAACAAATAGTGTTTTTAATCAAATGTTGTTTTTTTTAATATTGAAAATTTCAGTGGCTTAATAATGTTTAGAACGATAACAAAATAATACAACCATCTTGGTACGAGAATTTCTGTCTGACCTTGCGATGTGGACGGCCCGCTAAGTACTGCTTTTGATGACACCCAACCCGCGCTATCTCAGATATAAAATCTAACACAGCCACTCGAGAAGTTCTTCTCCTAGATAGGGGAGGTCTACGCACGGAGTTGCGGAAGAGAGATTAAACATTATACAAAAGAGGGGGCGAAGCATAATTCAAAGGTTCTTTACGCCCTTGGATTTGTTTCCGACGATCAAGAATTGATACATTTCGTGTTACTGTGGCTGGGCCACGTTGCCATAGAAACGGCACGCAGCATAGCTAGCAGACCGCGGGGCACCCAATCATAGCGCACAGACGGGGACACGCCCACTGACTGGGCGGTAAGATTTCAAACTCAAAGGCCCGATGCTCCGCCCCAGGGACTCCGGCCGCCTGACGTTTTGTAGCGATTTTCCGCCTCAGCCCTGCACGCGGCATTCTATTTTTCTCATCCCGATTTCATTCCAAAACGTTTTTCACAAGTGACATCGAGAACTAGAATGCCTTTTCCACCGGAAGAATTTTTACCAGCCGCGTGGAAGGACTTGCTTTCAGGGTAATACGTACGTGAATGGACGTGGTCGGATCGTTGTTGATTGTTGATGCAAGGGTTTATTTATGTGTACGTGTTTGGGGAGGGGTGAGACGCACACCCCGGGATTTTGATGGGCAATCTTTTCTAATTTTCGTAATACAGAGACTACTTGACGCTCACTAGATCACGTGAAGACTTCAACAAGCCAATTTAGTACAAGATGTCACAATGAAACACAACATGCAACTCCAGCCGGTACGCCCCATTTTATTTGATGGTTTATAAACTTGACAGATTGATTGTTTATAAACTTGCCGAAAAATTCACTGGAGACGAAGGGGTTATTACAAATTCATTCCTGCTA